AAGCTGAGTGAAGAACTACATGCAGGACACTTCCAGGACAGCTCTCCTTCCGGCTGGTTCCAAAGCCCCTTAGCTACCTGGGTCCTACCCATGATAGGGCCCCTGATTCTCATCTGTGTCTTTTTTCTCCTAGCCCCGTGCCTCCTCAAGTTCATCCGCTCCCGGATCGCGGAGATGTCACGGGTGACTGTGAATCAGCTCCTGCTCCATCCCTACACTCGGCTCCCCTCCAACCTGCCTCTGCCTAACCCTGGCCTTTAACCACCACCCCCCCCTCGTCGTCCATGTTCAGCTGGAAGCAGTCAGAAAGAGTCACCGCCCCCTATCACCAAAAGGCCGGGATGTTAGGTCAGAGAGGGCCCAGGATCAGATACATACAGACATGGGATGAGACAATGGACTTCCTCTGGAATTTCTCACAGACCTGGGATTTCTCACAGGTCAACGTGCCAGACACAGATGGCTCTTCTCCCTGAATACCTTGCTGACCCCCTGCAGCTGAAGCCTCCTCAACTGAATACCTCAGCTCATGTCCCCGCCCCTCACCCAACCTCAGTATAAAAAAAGCGCCCCCCTCCATGTTGGCGTGAATCCACGTGCCCTGTCTTTGGGGGTACGTGGGTCTCCCGGGGACACAGAATAAACTTTCCTTTCCTTTCTTTTCTCATTCACTGGACTCTATTTCTTGCGCCGCCTCCTGAGCCACCTAACCTAACAGTTTAGACCTTCCTCGGTTTTATGGTAATTATTTTACACATTGGGACTTGGTTTGATAATGTTTTACTTTGGATTTTTTCAATCTTTGTTCATAATGGAAATTGGCCTGAAATTGTCCTTTCTTCTATGGGCCTAGTTTTGTTCTCCAGAAAGTGTGCCCGGGAGCTGCCTCCCTTTCTGTCCCTGGAAGATCGCTGGGCCTTGAAGTCTTAGTGTAATTCTCCAGGAAGCCAGGCTGTGGGTAACTCCTCGTGTTGTACTTTATATGTTAGTTCTGGGTGGATGTTCCCCTCCCAGAAGCAGGCCTTTCATGGTTACAAATCTGGTCCCGCTTCCCTTTCTCCTACAGTCAGTTCTCAGGAGTTATAATCGCCAAAAAATGGTCCATTTCACCTGAGGGCAAGTTTATTTAAGGTGGTTGTTCATACTAACCTCTTCTGAGTTTTAAAAATCTCTGCCCTGACCGATTTGGCTCAGTGGATAGAGCGTCAGCCTGCTGACTGAGGTGTCCCGGGTTCCGTTCCGGTCAAGGGCATGTACCTTGGTTGCTGGCACATACCAGATGTCGGGTGTGCAGGAGGCAGCTGATTGATGTTTCTCTCTCATCGATGTTTCTGACTATCTGTTCCTTTCCCTTCTTCTCTGTAAAAAAAAAAAAAAAATCGATAAATATATATAAAAAATATATATATCTGCCCTGCCCATGTGTCTGGTCTCCTCTTTATTACTGATATTATTTGTACACCATGTTTCCAGCCTGATGGATCTTGACACAGGTTTGCTTATTTCATTAGATTTAAGGAACTCACTTTTGACTTTGCAACCCTATAATTTCTTTATTAGCTAGTCCAGGTGCTTCTTTTATGCATTTTAAATTTCCATTGACTTTCTTCCTTTAGTTAGCCTGTCTTTTATTCTGTTTCTTTTGCTCTCTTTCGGTTTCCTCTGACATAATTTTTCTCACTTCTTGACTTAAACAGGACATTCTCTGTCCTATTTGTACTAAATCCAGAAAGGACTGGTCATTTCCGTCCAGGTACAAGTCACCAAGTCTCTGTAAAGATTAAGAAGTGGAATTTTCACCATTGTGAGTTATATATACTTTTTAATTTCCATTCTTTGCAAATGTAGGATGGCTTCTGCCCATTTTTTATGTAAGTGTGAGAAAGCTTGAAATAACAATGTACCTGTTGTTTTCCAATACAAGGCAACTGTAAGTGACGTCTGAGAACAGAAATACAAGGTCAGTATTTACCCAGGATGTAAAAAAAGATGGAGAAATAAAATGTCCAGCCTCAGTAACAGAAGATGGTTAACAGGACGCCCCTCATAAACTCAGACAGTGAACTTATTGGCAAGTGGCCTTGTCACATGGTGTTCAGTTGTGATCTGCTCCTGTTCAACGTCTATCAAAGTAATATGTGACCATAAAACTGCAAGTATCAGACCTTCCCAACCCATGCAACTGAACAACCACACACACACACACACACACACACACACATACATGCACGTATGCCCACACACATGCAGAAGATGATTCATGGGCACACATGGAGGGAGGTCTAGGAGGTTCTGTTGCAGAGAGACCAGCCTGGGGCTGAAAACTCAATCGTGGGTGGCAGTGTGCCTGTGGCACTCTGGGTTACAGCCCTTTTCTCCAGCCTGCCCTGGAGCCAGGGGAAGGAGTCAGGTGATTGCACCTGGGCCCTTTCTATGGCAAAATTGATCACCTCAGGGGAGAGCAATCCAACTACCAACCAAGACACTGGGAATGTCCCACAGAGAGGCCGCTGCACCTCCAGCTGCTGGGCTTGTTTAGTAGGAAGCCCCCTACGGTCTTTCTGCAGCTACTAGGGTTCAGGAATCTGGGAAAGGGCTGCGCATAAATTAATGAAGACACTAGAGAAGAAATATGAATTGGGAAGGCATTTTGGGGGGCCAGACAGAGGCTCAGTTCTAGTGACTAAGTTCCCTGAACCTCTGGACCCATGGCTTTTTATTCCCACACTTTGCCCTTTAGCAAGCAGATACGCATATCAAAGGTAAGGTTTGGTAAACAGTAAAGGATGATCAGCTTAGGGGAATTGCCCTCAGCTGTTTGGCAGCAGGTAATAATATGCAGATTTTCAGCCCTGCTGAAGCTCCAAGTTCCATAGCCTTCTGATGAACATCTTGCAGAATTATGTCCTATTGGAATTAGCCCCAAGAGGAAGCCCAGTAGACAAACACTAAGGGAGCCCAGGTGATGCCCATCAAGATTCCTACCCATTAGAACAGGGTGGGGACCCGGGTGCCTGGGTCTCCCAGAGGAGGGAGGGTGGAGTATGGAGAGCAAGTAGGAAGAAGGAGGTGATGGTAGAGGTCGAGCCCAGACAGCCTGAGTGTCACAGGCTGGCACCTTGGGGTCTAGGACAGAGGGCCTGGCTGTGGGAGGAACACCACAAGGAGAGGCTCCAGGGAGCAGCACACAAAACTCCAGGCCTTCGTCAGAGCTCCAGCGGGCACTGCGGAGTGAGGTGCTGCCTGGAGCCGGTCACAGGTGCTGCCCTCGGTGAGGAGCAAGGCCGTCCTGTGGACACAAGTTGTGCTGAGGCCTGTGTCCCTCTGAGCAGTGGGGCAGAGTGAGTGAGATCAGTGTCATTGTCAGTGTGGTCACAGGTGTCCCGTGGTTGGTGGGGCCCGAATGGGGCAGCCAGTGCCATGAATGAGGGCCTCCCGGAGCCATCCCTGCCCCAGGTCCCAACACCTCCATTGTGACACGTGAGGACCCGTGGATGCTGGCACATTGCAGCCCCCTCAGCACCCCACCCCGCCCTCGCTGGCCCAGCCTCCACTGCAGTGTTGCAAAATGGGGCTGTTAGATAACAGAAGCTGTGCCGTTTACCCACCTGACCTCAGCCCTCCCCTATCAGGGCTCAGACATCCTTATCACAGCCCCGGCTTTGATCCTATCTCTGATGCCCACCCAGACCCACCCTCACTCTGTGCATCCATTTCTATCACTCTCACACTCTGCACCTTGGCATCCCCTATGCCAGCCTGAGGCCAGAAGGACTCCTGCTCAGAGCAGGAGTGCAGCCTGTTATGCCCAGATTTCAAGACCCCAAAAGACACCACCAGGGAGCGCCAAGTCCGATGCAAAAGCATAGAGTCTTTTATTCAAGCCCGGGCTTGGTCCCCCTCTGCCTCCATTACTGGATGGGAGAGAGAGAGCCCGGAGTCCCAAGAGAACAAAGAATTTATAGGGCTTGGGGTCAGGGGGTTGGGGGCACACGTGGACCACTGATTTGGCCAATTCCGGTTGGTTGAGTGAGGGCTGGGGGCTAGTGACGCAAGGGCAGGGTGCAGTTAGGGTCTGGTTACACAAAGACAGGGGGTTGTTCAGCATACTTTCAGCCTTGAGTTTGTTTTCCCTTGCATTCCCATTGGCTGAGATAAGAGAGGCTGAGTAACTGATACATTGTATGGCTTTTGCTGGAAGAGGAGGAGTTAGGAACACAGCTGTCAGTCCTGTTCTTTCCTTTCACAGGGCAGGGCCCACTCACCCTTCCACACACAGCTGCTGGCCTGAATGCACTTGTGAACTTTACCTTAGCATCCGTCTTCTCATTTTTTTGTTAATCCTCACCCAAGGATATTATTCTACTGGTTTTTTAGAGAGAGTGCAAGAGAGGGGAAGAGGAGAGAGAGGGAAACATCAATGTGAGAGAGACACATCAATTGATGGCTCCTGCAGGCATTCTAACCAGGGCTGAGGAACAATCCTCCAGGTAAATGCCCTTGACCAGGAATGAAACCCATGACTCTGGTGCAGGGACCAATGCTATAACCACTAAGAAACCCTGGCCAGGGGCCATTCACATTCTTTCTAATGGGAAAATGATTGGGTTTTGAAAAGTCGCTTCTCGAGCCGCCCTCCACAATGAATTAGGTTGGAGAACCAAGGTTGCACTCTATTGTCAAAGGGCATGTGCTCTTCTCTTTTCTGCTTTTGTGTGCACTACTGTCTACAGCAACATTATCCCTCACAGTCAAAAGGCAGAAACAACTCAAGTGTCCATGTCATATGAGTAGGGAGGTAGAACGTAGTCCATCCATGCAATGGAGGATTAGTCAGCCATGAAGCCAAGGAACCCTAGGGGTTTCCAGCAGCCCCAAAGCTGGGAGAGAGGCCTGGGGCAGATTCTCCCCCAGAGCCCGGAAGGAACCAACCCTGCCCACACCTGGGTTTCAGACTTCTGCCTCCAGACTGTGAGAATCCATCGCTGTTGGTTGTGCGACCCAGGTTGGGGCACTTCGTTATGGAGCAAACACAGCTATTGAGAAGGAGCAGGAGGAAAGTATCCAGTAACACTTCCTGTTGGAGTTCTAGTACAGGATGGTGCAACCTGTACTATCTGGAACTGAGTTCCTGGGAGAAAGGAAACCTGGAACTTGGCGGGTGGCAGAGAGCAGCAGGGAGG